ATACTCGTTGTAACGCTGCTCGTTCCATGTGCAATGTACAAAATTACTTAATTACGAACATTATAAATGGTCATGTCATTTATGAAGATACCAGCCTGAGACTTGCTTTGGCATTTCGGTTCTCTTGCTTTCCCTTGTAGCTCTCTCCCTCTCATAGACACACACACACACACACACAAAGAGACTCTCAAACTTGATACGTTGTACACACTCCTCTGCCTGTCCAGATTACCTTCTATCGAGCAATAGCGTGTGAGCCACAGGTGGTGTTTAGGTGTTTCTCGTCTACAGGGCTCCTAACTGTGATTTTTTACTTATAATTTGCAACCATGGAGCACTAATGCGACTTGTAAATGTTGTCAAAACATGAACTGGAAAGCTGTTAGTTTGTTTTCTTACAGAGAGTGAGTGATCACATTTAACAGTTCAGTGGCAACAGTTTAACTTAATGGGATTAGCGATAGAGTGAGCAGAGGAAGCATATATCTTTGTAACTACAGGGCTCCAGATAGTGAATATGAAGTCACATTTTGCAAACCTGAAGCACCACTGGGGCTTGCAAATGCATTCAATATATAAAGTGGAGAGCTGTTACTTTGTTTACAGCTCACAGTGAGTAAATCTTAACGTTTAATCATGCCGCTGTGATGGTTTAACTTTCTGCTAACTGCTGATATCTAACTGTTGAGCGGAAGGTTAAGTTCACAGCAGAATCATCAACACTTTCGGCCTGAGCCAAGTCAGGTGCTTCAAAATAAAAGCACCTGTGGTCCTGCTTTGATTTAAGCAATACTTTATTTAACTTTATCATAACAGTACTTTACTTGACTTTGTCATAATTGTAATTCATTTAATAATTTTGTATTTTAGTAGTCTACAGTAGTTCATATTGCGTATTATATTTTGAAATCTCCTCTGAACTACTGTAGACTACTAAAACACAAAATTATTAAAAAATAGCCTAAACATATTGTGATATTATTTTTAAGCCATATCACCCAACCCTAGGTATAAGAGAGGTTCTATCCAAAACCTTTCCACCGCTAAAGGTTGCTAAGAATAGCCCACCCAGGGAGTTCTACCAAGAACCATTTATATTCTAAAGGTTTTAGTTCAGACGTGGGTTCAAGGACCCACATGAGGCTCCTAAAGGGCCAGGACTGATGTAGTCCAAAGCAACTTACAACGCTTGTAGTTCACCATCATGTTTTCAAAGTGTGCAACTTTTGTGAATCTGAACAACTGCAACCTTTACTACTTCAATGGGTTCAGTGTGTTGCTGCTATTCATGGCCAGCTCTCCCTCGTAAAAGAGACCTTCAATCTCAATGGGGAAAAACCTGGTTAAATAAAGGCTAAAAAAAAAAAATCCTTGATGAACTCTTTTTTTTTTTTTTTTTTTTTTTTTTTTTTTACAAAAAGGTTTCTTTGGTTGAAAAGGGAAGTCTCACAAAGGTCCCTTATGGCCTTTATCATTAGCTTAAGGTCCATACAGTTGACTTGCGTTCAGCCATGTTGTCGAGCTAGTTTGCTTTCTCCTTTAAGTACCTGTCAGTTATGCATTCATTCCACAGTAGGGAATGGCACTTAAAAATAAAACCTCTGTGCCAGAAATTCACTGTACCTCAAAATATAGTGTGCCTTTAACAAACTTGACACATTAGGGAGTCACTTACAGTCCAGAAACTTCAGTTTCCGGTGGCGTGGCTCTGCAGCGACCTGGGCTTGTGCTACTTTGCTTCTGTTTGTACTTTAGCACTCAGCACTTTTTCTTGCACTTTAGACGTCTCTGTATGTTTCTGTGTTGTGATTGTTAAATGTAGTCCATGTCTGTTTTATGTGATAGAACTGTCATTGTGATGATGTGTCCCTGTGATGATGTTTTTATCTTGTCCTGTAAAGCAATGAAATGTAGCACTGTGCCCAAGATGAATTTCCCTTAGGGGACAATAAAGTTTACTTTACATTCAGAATGGACCCACAACCCACTTTTGGGACTGCGACCCACCAGTTGGGAACCACTGCTGTAAGAAACCCTTTCTTTCAAAATTGCTTCTTCAGAGGCAAATAGTTTTGGGTAGAACCCCTTTTTAGAACCCTTATTTCTTAGATTGTCAGTATCTCAGTTTTCTTTCTTCAATCCATCACCTTCTTTTCATTTCCAACCCTTTTGTGTAACTTGTATAGATTCAATAAGCAGGGTCCTTCTTTTATCAGAAAACATCCCTTATGTTTTGCAGATACAGTCTTTGATATCCGTTAATCCATAACAACCTAACAGTCTATTAAGATGTTATTAAATTTGGAATGAATTAGTGTCAATTTGTGACACTGATGCTCCTGAGGCAATATTGAATGCTTGTTTCGAATTTTGTCGAATAATATTTTCCAGGGCTCTGAATGTTTTGTTTACCTCAGCTTAAATTATTCAACCTGATGGAAAACGCTGTGGGTATTTTTCTTGCACACAAACTTCAGTTTGTTGCCTCAGGGAGGAAACTGCTACATTTCTTACATAAATTCAAACCTGTTGTTGCAGTTGTGCTTATGTGAATGCATTTGATTCAGTGATATTAGAACAAATTCATTTGTATCTTCATATAAGTCCAGTTGTTTTTGAGTGTGAGGTTGCTTTCGCATCTGAATTTGTGGAATTGCATGTGGGTTTTTTTCTGTTAAAGTAAAAAGCCAACAATGTAGGCTTTGTGTAAAGGTTAAAGTCTGCACTCCAGAGGAAAGCGGACAAACAGAGGTGCTGCTGAGGTGGCAGTTTGATTTATTGAAGTTACTTTGCAGCAGTGATTCACAGAGGATGCATTGGTCAAGCAACAGCTTCATATCAGCACGCATTAATCAAATTGCAGGCAAAGCTTTTAACAGAAAATGGGAAACCCGTTTACAGCAGTTTTCTTGCGTGTTTTTATGAGCTCAGAAATGCACTTTGAGTTTAAAAGGCATAAATAAATAAGGCAATATTGAAAATAGCACTTACAAACATATAAAGACTGATCACATCAGTTTCTTAAATACTGTCACAGAGGGTGAGGTTGCTCTTTACATCACAGTGCAACATATTTAAGGCAATAGCACAAAACACATACATAAAAATACATTCAGTAAAAGCTTTTTTACATACACATAATGAAAAATAGATCTCTGTATCGTCACACGTACATGCTGAGTGAGAACAAACCCACATGTGCAAGTTTACACAAATACCTACACAGATCACAAGTACACAAGAGCTTAGATTGGAAATCAACAAATGTCATGAGTCAGTGCAGACTGACAGATGTGTCATCAGGTCTGTGAAGGGCTTGTTTTAGCCATTCGCTCGGATAAATTTCATGATTTGCAGACATTAAACTGTTCTTCCCTGGGATCTGACGCTCTGCTGCAAAGGGGAGATCAAAGGTGAGGGTCTATAAAAACTGCATCCTTGATTAGTTAGGATGTAAAACTGCCATCATAGAGCCAAAACTGTAGATTCTAGGGTCACCCTGAATTGTTTTCCTTTTTTTCTGGAGGTGCAAATGATCTAAAAACAAATAAAATCTAAACAAGAAATGCTTATGAAGTACCATCTTTTGGGGAACTGCCCATTGGTCCAACATCCCATTGTTCCCACCATATTAAACCCATTGTTCCGAAGTCCCGTTGTTCTGAAATCATCATGATGCCCTGTGGTTAAGGTCTGGTTAGGTTTAGGCACAAAAACCACTTGGTTAGGGTCAGGAAAAGATCATGGTGTGGGTTAAAATGAAAAAGAAAGTGACAAACACTTAAGCCGTGAGCCTGCTTCGCCCCAAGCCTTTCCCAGCTGACCCAGAGCCGGTCACGGCGCACCATCAAGGTAGAAATGATCCGTCTTATAATTCGTCACGAATAAATCTTTTTGTCTCCTGAAATTTGTTTTTCAGTACAATCTACAATGAGGCTATATAAGCATTTACCCTCATTACCAGTGAGTGATTTTACAACCCTGTATTTAAGATCCCAGTCAATAAACATCATGCGTAGGCATAAGAAAACAGCCTGTGGTTACTAAGCTGAGCAGATCAGACACAGGAAACAGCAGATGAGCAAAGAGCAAAAATGGCATTATTTGTTTGTGCTCTCATTTTGTGATTTCCTGAAGCATGTGGTTTGATGTCAGTGTTTTTATCTTTTTAGAGCAGCTTAGAAAATCACACCTCATTGCTGCAAAGTTTGAAACAATCTGTTTCCCCCTGTGTCGGATTTCTGTGGTGATGGCTTTACTTTAAACTAAGAAAAATGCCACCTTTAGAATAAAGGTGAAAGCTGAGCAGGTTGTACCCTGTATTTGCCTTCATCTCCTCCGTAATTGGCACATAATAAATCAGTGATCCCATGTCATATATATATATATATATCTTCGCATTCATTGCAATGCAAAACAAAAGGAGTATATTCTAAGGATATACCTATCTTTGCTTGCAGTGTGCAAAATACTCTCAAAGCTTCTGCTGTGAGGTGGATTAGACTCTCAAATACGGAGGTAGTGTGTCATATACTATGTAAATCTTTTTGCTGGACATGTACACGCACTGTGGCATCATGGCGCAACAGCTGTGACATTTAAGTGCTATAATCCATGTAGATACATAAAGATTTTAAACATAACTCAGAGTATTTTTGATTTGCTTTCACAGTGAACAAGAAAAGTGTTGTAGGTAGATTTCAGAGGGAGAAAGAGAAAGGATTTGTAAATGAACCACAGTTTGAGCATGTGTATTTGTAATATACATGCTGGTTAGCATTTACTTCAAATTGCACTTTTGAACGGCGCTTACTACAAAACAAAATAGCATTGGTCTACAAAGCGGAACTCTATTTTACAGGGGGTTTGTAAACCTACCTCTTTAGCAATCTGACTCATGAAACCAAAGGCAAGCGCCCTACTTATTAATCATTTACAGCCGGCTCAGAGAGCACAGGGCACAGCAAGTCACATCAGTCCACAGTGATTACAGCTGAAAATCTCAAAGTCTTCGTCAGTGTCATTTAAATTGCTGATTGTATCCATCAAAGTGGGAGCTCTGCTGACACTCACCAGGCAGCTCACACACACAACAGAGCATGCGAGCAGCAGAAAATCTCTTTGAAGGTTTTTCTCATCTCTTGGCTGCGAAAGGCGTAGATGATGGGGTCGATGACGGAGTTGCACATGATGAGGATGAGGTACATGTTGAAGTGGGACATGAAGCAGGTGCAGTAGGGGTTCCTGGGGCAGGTGATCATGAGGATGAGGTGGAGGAAGAAGGGCGCCCAGCATACCACAAACACCCCGAGGAGGATGGTGAGGGTGATGGCGCCCTTCATATTGGCCCGCTGGTGGATGGGCGCGTTGCCTGGCAGCGCCGCGATCCGCTTCATGTGCAAACGCGCCAGCAGGAACATGTGGACGTACAGTGACGCCATGAGCACCAGCATGGTGAAAAACATGGTGATGAGGCAGATGAGCACTGTGGTGCTCTCTGAGTAAATGATGAACAAGATGCCGGAAACGGTGCAGCACGTCCAGATGCTGCTGATGACCAGCATCGCTCTTCGCAGGGTGACGATGTTGTGGTATCGCAGAGCGTAGAAGATGGTGATGTAGCGATCAACGGCGATGGCCAGCAAGCTGCAGATAGATGCCAACAAAGAGCTACAGATCATAGAGTCAAACACATTGTCCATGCTTTTGATCAACGTGGCAGGGATGGCCAGGTTGCCTCCGTTGATGAGTGCTATAACGATAGTCTCAGAGGCGTTGGAGACACTGACGAGCATGTCAGCAACAGCGAGGCTACAGATGAAAAAGTACATGGGCGAGTGAAGGTTCTTGTTTTTAACTATAGCAGCAACAACCAGAATGTTCTCCAGCAGGCTGAGAATGCCAAGAGTGAGAAAAACCTCTGTGGAAATGAGCAGCTGTTCGTAGCATCCTGCCGATGAGTCCTTCTCCTCGGCTGGTAAGTCTTTGTTAAGTGGCAAAGTGCCTGAGGTTTGGTTCCTATTGTGGTAGCCTTGGATCAATCCATGGTTCTCTGTGGTGTTCATAATGTCTCCTTTTAAATCCTCTGTCCTCTTGGGTTTGGTCTTCTCTTTCTGTTGTTATTGGTCCATCTGATTTGTTCAAATCTCAGCGTGTGTGTTCCTCAGTTATCCTCATCATCTGGAGGACAACCTCTGCACTCTTGAAAGAGAATGAAAAAGAAAAACTTCTTTCTTCCCTTTTTTCACCCTTTAGGTTTACCAAGACAGGCAGTTATCTTCAAACATCTGCTGCTGTGTTTGCTCTCAGTCAGAAACAATCCCAGTGCTCTCCTCTAATCTCTCCACTCAGTGAGAAGTTGAAATAAATGTTCCCTAGAAAGATGTGAGCAAGGAGTGAAGCAGAGAGTTGCGTGCAGGAAGGAGCATGTGTGCCACTGATTAACAATGAGCGAGAATATGAGAGGCACAGAGATCAGAGCGTACAAGCTTGCCGTATGAGTGCAGGCAGATCATCACTTTGTAAGCTACTGTGGTCTTCCCACTCCGTCTCTCTCTCTGCTATTATACCAGGCACACAAACACCTACACACACACACACACAGACACACACACACACACCCCTGGAGTTTTTTTGTCCTATCTGCTCGCTGAGAAAGTGGGAGGAGGAGCAAAGCTCAGCTTGACGTATGAATGAGTAGAATAAAAAATTGAATGGATATAAGAAACAAAGGGTTTTAACATGATTCAGCCTTAAAATATTAAATGAATATACACAATTTAAAAAAAAAAAGCTTATGTTGAAACCCAAAAGTGAAAACATTATAAGGACTGAATGATGAACTACAGATAAAGTCTTTTTACATACTATATCACACTATACATACTGTAGCTTCATTGCATAATATGATGTTGTACATCAGTGGGCTGTCCAGACAGAGGGCAACTGAAGGCAAAGACTGCAAACATTGCACAAGTGCCTATGATTTGCACTGTTTGTGGTTGTTCCACTTGATCAAATTGAAAAAAAAAAGCCACTTAAAGTCACAAAACTAGTTGGATGTAAAGGGGAGAAGTAAGAAAAAACTAGAATAACAGCCTTGAAGTTGTATGCCTTCATGCACCAGTCAAGTTGCACTTACAGTTTACATCCATGTCTGTGAAAACATGGATGCCTCACACACCTCTTCGACCCGGCAGCACGGACGATCTATACAAACAGCACAGTTTCAAAGTGGACACCTAAGATTAGTGTCACCAATTAAAGGGAAATTTCGGTTTATTTCAACCTGTCTCCTATCGTCCTAAATTTGTTTCAAGTGACTAGTGACATAAAAATAATAGTTAGCATGTTAGCCGTTAGCCTAGATACAGCTGTAGCGTCAGACCTGTTAAAACTTAAGTGAACGGGCATCCTTTCAAGTGCAAAGTTAGTCCACTAAACAAACAATTTTTTTTTCCACAAAGACCGCCTCATATCGTTAGGATAAATGTCAGAGAACATATAGAAAACGACATGTAAACGTGTTGTCTTACCTTACCGGTGTGCTGCCATGTTTGTTTATCCCTCTAGCTCTGCTTTCCAAAGCACGGCCGAAATATATCTAATATAATAAACCGAAATTTCCCTTTAAGTATCTGACCAAATGTCTCCCGTTCTGTTCCTGACATATTAAATTGAGTAATGACCATGAAAGTGTTTTTTCAAAACATTATGAAGCTCTAGCAAAAGTTCAGTCAGGAAGACAACACTGTAAGATTCATTCTCACCCTGCCATTCACTCCTTGCACGTATGCTCACTCACTGTCTTTGGGTGTCATTGTCTGGGTAGGTCAACTGAGTGATCAGTTGAAATACAGTCAGCCAACAGCACAGCGACACACCTTCTCTGTCACCCTATCATCTTACTGCTCCTTATTTTAGATATGGTTCTTTGTCTGCCGTAGTTATTTCTTGCTGCAGTCGTCTGTGCCCTCCTCCTCCTCATCACCATTCATCTGTTTCATTTGCCCCAGCAGTCAGCAGCCTCAGAGTCAGCAGCCTAGTAGACATTTTTGTGAAATTTTGTCACACTTAGCAAATTAATTCTTGAGTTATGGCCAAAAACATGTTTTGTGAGGTCACAGTGACCTTGAATTTTGACCACAAAATTCTAATTAGTTCTTAGTTGAGTCCAAGTGAACGTTTGTGCCAAATTTAAAGAAATTCCCTTAGGGTGTTCTTGAGATATCATGCTCACATGAATGAGACAGATGCAAGGTCACAGTGACCTTGACCTTTGACCACCAAATTCTAATCAGGTCATTGTTGAGTCCAAGTAAATGTTTGTGCCAAATTTGAAAAAAATCCCTCAAGGTGTTCTTGAGATTCCATGTTCATGAAAACGGGATGACCATTCTGAAAATATAATGTCCGTGGCCACGGTTATCGCCAGCGGCCTATGTGGATCAAAAATCTTTGTCTTTAATCTGGAGGAGAAGAGTCTACTAATTTCAAACTTGCATTATAAATGGTTGTGTAAATCATGCCTCGAGTTGGATGCAACAACAATGTGTTGTGACAACTTCGATTTGCACAACCCAGATTTACACCAGACCTCTGCAAATGGTTGACCCAGTGGGTAGAAAACTGTGGCTAAAGTTAGTCTGAAAGCGGTGCATCCAAGCACAGAGTGGGAATATAACACAGTTACACTCTAGCACATTTCCTCACACAGTCGTTTTAGTCATGTACCCGACAGCACACAAAATAGTTATAAGTCTACCAGATCTCTGTACACTTTCATCAGCTCGCCATGTAATATTATTAACATTACGGGATCTGGAGGATCATTTTTTCTTCATTTTGTATGGATCATATCCAACATGAGATTTATTTTTCTTACGATACCCGCTGCCTGCAGCACTTTTGCATAGTGACTCCACTACCAAGTCCCGGTTACCAATCATTTTATTGCAATAGTTAGTGATTACATCTATTTTAATTGTAGACATTATCACTCAGTACAATGCTTACCTTCCGTGGCGGTACTCCTGTCTGCTTCTCCAAACTGCAGTTTAGGAGTGCCAACCCCTTACTGTGGATAATTACCTCATACCAATCCACTTCAAGAGAGCCCAATGATCTCTTTAAATACTGTGCTTTAGTAAATGTATTTAGTGTTTTTTTTCCACCACTGTTGAAGACAACACAGACTTATTATAATCTTATTAAGCTGATATGGCTAAAATGTTAGCAATCACTGTACACATATGTACACATCCAAGAGACACAGAGCAACACAAGCCTTCATTTGCAGTCCAATAGGTAATTTCCTTTCAGCTCTGTTTTTGGTCTGTTAAATGCTCCACTACATTCACTAGCTATTTGCCAATGTTTCCCTTTGGTGCTGAGCAGGTAGTGTACAGTTGGTTTTTAGAGCTTTTTTGCTAAAAGCAGCTTCCCTTCAGCTTTAAACTACACTATGAGTGCAGTGAGTCTAAACCAAAATAGTGAAGCTGTGTGATGTAAAACTTAAACAATGATGCCAACATGTTTTAGCACACAGTGTATTTAAAACAAACAACCCTGAACATACCATTCAGAAGTATGAGTCACAGTATACAGTATTGGTGTGAAAGTCAAGTTCTTTCAAGGTTTTTTGTTTATTAAGTGTATTTGCCTTCTTTCAAAGTCAGCTCTTTCATAACTGATACACTTAAGTAACATCACTGTGTACATAAATGAAACTGTGCAAAGTGGAGTATGTAGAGATAAAAAAAAAAGTAGCTCTGGATGTTACGCCAATAAATCTGGCAGGAAATGAATGAAGGATAATGTCAGGCTCAATTAATTAAAGCTGCTGACCAAGAAACCAGTGATCTTATAGTGTCCTACACACCTTTCCCATTTGTTGTGGCAAAACATTGACAGTATCAAAGATTATTCTGTTTTAGTTTAATAGTTCAAGTCAATACTGACAACATGCTGTAACACAAGTTTTTGTCTCAAGAGACAATATCTAAAAGCGAATGTCAGTGATAATGGATAACCTTCAATAAAAGGGCAGCCAGCCTCAGGAGGATAATGCAATGGCAGACCAGACAGTGATTCATTTTTGGCAGAGGCAGAGTAGCACTCATTGTCACAGTGCGGTAATTGTCTTTTTGTGTATTTGCTAATTATGAGGTAATTATTAGCACAAAAGCTAATTGCCTTTCTAAGCATTTAACTATTGCTTATGTACTTATGTGGTAATTATTTCCGCAAAAGCTAAATTCCTGGAATAAGTACATAGTATTTGTGGTATCAAATTATCAGCCTATGATCATATGACTGTGAAATGATTAAGTACAGAAAAAAAAACATCCTGTACCACTGTGTCTCCTGCAGAATATTACCCTTCTCCTGTGGTAAACTCACTGAGCTCCAAATAATCCCTAATATAGCTACATACATACCTCTGTTTATCACCTACCAATAAAATGACAATGAAGAAGGCAAAGATGTGGAGTATGTTACAGGAGGTGTTTGTGAGTTTTCTAAGAGCATTTAGACATTTAAAATAAAAGATTAGGACTCCTAATGGATGTTGTTTGAGCTTTTACAATCACATTATTGCATTACAGCATCTGCAGCCCGTTCTACCAGTTCTGTTGATACTGAACAATATGTTGAAACTAGTCAGTGTGATCGTAATACTGTGTCGATGTCGATGCAAAACTATGTGTGGTTACTCACAGGCTGACAGCTGCACACAAACAAAATAAAAACACTACATAAAAGCTAAATTTGAAACATTAAGACAAGATAAGAACAAGGTAAAACCACAGATGATCACAACATAGAGACAGCAGCGTGCATAGTCGCAGCGACCCGGAGCTCTAATTGCCAACCCCCACACCCCTGCTGCTGTGGAGGAGGCGGTGATGGAGGCTACAGCTCTGGTGAAGAAGCTGTTCCTCAGTCTGTTAGTCGGTGTTTTTATGGTCCTGTATCTCTTCCCTGATGGCAAAGAAAGAAATCGACTGAATTGGAATTTTAAGGAATCATGTTCATATAAATCTTTCTTTGAATGCAACCAATGAAATATTGTTACACTGGGACAGTATGTTAGTGGTAATGTGTGACAGCCATTCAAGACATTCATAATGGGGGAACTAAGTTCCCTTTTTATGTCTCTCATTAATTTAGCTTGCTAGCTAGTTATTGACAGATAATGACACAACATTAAAAGCATCACAGATGGTATGCCTGCACTGAGTTTTGGATTTTTCTGTAATACCAGTTCAATCAGGGGTGACAGGAGAGTGAAGTAAAGAAAATATTTAACACAGAATATGAGTGTACAGATTAACAGATGATCTGTGCTGATTAGGATTTAATAAAAGTCTTTGACACTTGGACACCAGCGGCAGATATTTTGTGATTGCGGGACATCTGAGCGGCAGCAAGATAAATGCCCCCATGGAGTCCAGACACTGGTGGTGCTGGTGCTGGCTGCTGACTCTGAGGCTGCTGACTGCTGGGTGG